TCATTTACTCTACATGAGGAAAAGATAAAGAAGCCATTGAGCCAGAGTGATGGTGCCTGTACCACTAAGCTGCTAGAGGATTAGTTCAAGGTCACCATGTAGATAGCTTTAGTGTTAACTTGTCACACCTTGGTGAAGGGGGCCTCAACTGGGGAATTGCCTCTATTGGACTGGCCTGTGGCCATATCTGTGGGGCATTTTCTTGATTGTTGAGTAATGTGGGAGGGTTGAGTGATGTGGGAGGGCCCAGCCCACTGTGGGCAGTGTCACCCCTGGGCAGGTGGGCCTGTATTGTATATAATAAAGCAGGTTGAGCATAGGCCAAGGCAGCAAGCCAGTAAGCAGTATTCCTCCATGGCCTGTGCTTCAGTTCCTGCCTCCAAGTTCCTGCCCTGGGTTCCTACCTTGGGCTCCCTGATGAACTGTGACCCAGAGATGTAAGCTGAATAAACCCTTTCCTCCCCAGGTTGGTATTGGTCAGTGTTTTATCACAGCAATAGAGAAGCTAACCAAGACAGTCACTGTGGTGGTTTGAATGTGAATGTCCCCCATAGGCTCCAAATATTAGAATACTTGGTCAGTTGGAGGTACTGCTTGGGGAGGGTCATGGAACCTCTAGGTGGCATGGCCTTGCTGGAGGAAGCACATCACTGAGGGCAGACTTTGAGAGTTCATAGTCCCTCCTACTTGTAGTATCTCTGTTTCCTCTGCATGCTTGAAGTTATAAGTGCACAGCTTTCTGCTCTGGCTACCTCCTGCCATTTCTCCCCACCATGATGAACTGTTATCCCTCTGGAACCAATAAGCTCTTCCTCCTATAAGTTGCCTTGGTCATTTTAGTGATTTATTTTTATTTTATGTGTTATGAGCGTTTTGCCTGCATGTATGAAATTACACCTGTGTCTTGCAATGCGTGCAAAGACCAGAAAAGGGCATTAGATCCCCTGGAACTAGAGTTACTGACTGTTAGCCACCAATGTGGGTGCTGGGAACTGAATACGGGTCCTCTGCAAGAGTAGCCAGTGCTCCAACCCCAGGTGCTTTATCACATCAACAGAAAAATAAGTAATACAGTCTTCTTTAGCTATGTAGTTTGTAGGCCAGTTTGCACTACATGAAATGAAACAAAGAAGTCATTGATTAGAAGGACAGTCAGAACAGGAAAATAATTGTGAGCAAGAAGGACTGGCAAGACAGCTCAGTGGGTAAAGGTGCCTGCTGTGTAAGCCTGACAACCTGAGTTCAATCCCCAGGACCCACACAAAGTTGGAAGGAGAGATCAATGCCACAGTTGTCTGTTCTCTGACCTCTATATATACACTGTGGCATGTACATGCTCCCCTTTCATGACATTTTGTGTCTGTGTGTGTGTGTGTGTGTGTGTGTGTGTATCTATACACACACAATAAATAAATAAATAAATAAATAAATAAATAAATAAATAAATAAAGTTTTTGTTTTTTTGTTTTTTAGAGACAGGGTGTCCCTATAGCCCAAGCTAGCCTGGAACTCACTGTGTAAACCAGGCTGGCCTTGAATTCACAGAGATCTACCTGCCTCTACCTCCCAAGTGCTGGGATCAAAAGTGCACACCACCACGCTGGCCATTTATTTTGTTTTTTTGAGACAAGATCTCAACTATATGGCCAGTATGGCCTCAGACTCATTACAGAGGGCCTTAAATTCACAATCCTCCTGCCTCTGCCTCTCAGGTGCTGGGATTATAAGTATGTACTACCATGAACAGCAACAATACATTTTTTTAAAACTTTTATTTTGGTCTTTTTGAGACAGGGTCTCTGTGTAGCCCTGGCTGGCCTGGAATTCGCTATGTAGACCAGGCTGGCCTCACACTCACAGAGATCCGCCTGCTTCTGCCTCCCGAGTGTTCGAATTAAAGGTGTGTGCCACTAAGCCCGGCTCTTACAAAACATGTTAAAAACTATTATTTTTATTCTATGTGTATAAGTGTATTGCTTGCATGTATTTAACTGAACCCATGTCATGGAATGCCCACAGAGGTCAGAAAAGGGCATCAGATCCCCTGGAACTGGAGTCATGGACAGTTGTTAGCTGCCATTTGAGTGCTTGAGAACTGAACCCAGGACCTCTATAAGAGCAGCCAGCGCTCTTTTTGCTAAGCCATCTCTGCAGCCCCACATTTTTATTTTGCTTTGTTTAAAAAAAGTTATTATGATGTATTTTGTGAGGCAGGTTTACAACATTACAAGTTTTTTTGTTTTTTGTCTTTTTTGAGACAGGGTCTCAAAAAGGACAAAAAAAAAAAAAAAAGATCTTAATTTAAAAAATTTTTATGATTCCTAGTTACCAAGCATTGATTGAGCATTTATTGTGCCCAAAACACTGTTTAATGTCTATGAAGAAATAAGTTTAGAAACCAAACTACTATAAATGACTAAAAAGTTACAAGAATTCATTAACTTAAAAGATATCATAAAGCCGGGCGTGGTGGCACACACCTTTAATCCCAGCACTTGGGAGGCAGAGGCAGGCAGATCTTTGTGAGTTCAAGGCCAGCCTGGTCTACATAGTGAGTTCCAGGACAACTGGGGCTACAGAGAGACCCCGTCTCAAAAAAAAAAAAAAAAAAAAAATCTATAATGTGAAATATGAAAAGTTTATCAGGGGCTGGAGGATGGCTCATCGGTAAAGAACACTGGTTGTTATTGCAGAAGACCCAGGTTCGAATCCCAGCACCCACATGGCAGCTAACAACTGTCCGTAACTCCAGTCCCAGGGGATCTGACAGCCTCTTCTGACCTCTGTGGGCACTGCACTTACCTACATGCAAGCAATACATGCATACACATAAAAAAAAAAAAAGTTTATCAAATGGTAGTGATGATATAATTTTTATTTTATAAGCGTATACATTTACAGATATGAGTATCTGTATATAAGATGCTAATCCAAATTAATTAATGGTTATCTTTCAGTGATAGAGTAAAAAATAATTGTGTTTTTTCCCTTAGGCATATTTTCTAATCTATTCAATGGCTATTTAACACTACTATAAAAGTTAAAGAAGGTTGGGGCTGGAGAGATGGCTCAGCAGTTAAGAGCACTGATTGTGCTTGCAGAGGACCTGGGTCCGGTTCCCAGCACCCAGATGGTGGCTACGAACTGTCCTAACTCCAGTTCCAGGGGAATCTGAAGCCCTCTTCTGACCTTTGCAGCATTGTATGACACGGGTATACTCACATACATGCAGGCAATACACTCATACACACAAAATAAAAATAATTTTTTTTTTAAATGAACCTCAGCCAGGCGTTGTGGCGCATGCCTTTAATCCCAGCACTTGGGAGGCAGAGGTAGGCGGATCTCTGTGAGTTCAAGGCCAGCCTGTTCTACATAGTGAGTTCCAGGGCAGCTGGCTACAGGGAGTCCCTGTCTCAAAAAGACCAAAAAAATAAAAGAAAAAAGTCAAAGAAGGTAAACAGATAGCTTCCTAGGTAAGAGTGCTTGCTGTACAAGTATGAAGACCTGAATTTGAACCCCCAGCACCTGCATGAAAAGCTGGGCATGTTTAGGCAGATGCCTGTAACCCCAGTGCTGTGGGTGGCAGAGACAGAAAATCATTGGCTGCCAATCTAGCTCCAGGTTCAGTGAGAGACCCTGTCTGAAGTGAATATGGCAGAGAATAGTAAGCCAGAAAACCAGATGTGCTCATCTGGCCTCTGCATGTGCATGCATGGTTAGGCATATGCACCTGCACATACATATGCATAGACCACACACAAAAAATTAAAGAAACTTTGGTCCTGGGCTGGAGAGATGGCTCAGTGGTTAAGAACACTTGGTTGTTCTTGCAGAAGACCCGGGTTCAAATCCCAGCACCCACATGGCAGCTAACAACAGTCTAACTCCAGTCCCAGGGGATTCGACAGCCTCTTCTGACCTCTGCGGGCATTGCGCGACATGGGTGCACTTACCTACATGCAGGCAATACACGCATACATATAAAATAAAAATAATAAAATGTTTTAAAAAAAGAGAAACTTTGGTTCTTAGGACACTATATACAGATTGGCTCATAAACAACGTAGGCCACTAGCATCCTTGATTAGAACTGGAAAGCAAGATGCAGCACTGAATACACTGTAATCCTGTTTAACAAGATTAAAACTGAACAAAAGTATGAATAACACTTTATAATTCATGCATGACATAAAAGACACTTAGGTTAGGACATTATAATGCCACAGTTGGGAGCACTGCTGCTAATGTTTCAGAATTTGTGTTAACTTTGCAGTTTGAATAGTACTCTAGAAGAAAATAGAGCAAATCATCTTTAAAATTTTTCTGGCACTGTCAGAGCTAAATGGGCACAATATAAAATCATGCAAAAGAGATTCCCTGAGCTAGAGATCCCGCAGAAACAGGGCACTAGGCCACCACATAGTTCTTGGTACCTGTTTCCTATTATGGCATCTAGCAAGGCTGAAGCATGACTTTTCTTTTTTTTGAACAGGGTCTCCTCACAGCCCTAGCTGGCCTGGAACTCACTATGTAGACCAGATGGCCTTGATCTCACAGAGATCTGCCTGCGTCTGCCTCCCGAGTGCTGGGATTAAAGATGTGCACCACCACACCTGGCCAGCTTTACTTTTAATAAGTGAGCTACTGCTGACTTCTGAGCCTCGACTGACCATACTATTGAAAGTACAGTATCTTAGTTCAGATAGAATGAAGCCTAATAGAATTCTTTTGAATTATCCCTCTGTTCCCAACATTATATTATTAGCTTCTCAATGACAAAAAAAAAAAAAAAAATCCAACAACAATTTTCCATTTGTCAGAGGAGGCAGAAGTGGTAAGACTAGGAACAGCCATCCCAAGACTAGATGCTCTTCAAAATAAAGAGCGCCCACATTCCATAAGAGCATTTATGACCTTTGATTATTTGGAAAAAAATAAAGCAAAATATCCAGAAATTTCTGTAAAAAACAAGTGAACTAAGGAGACTGAAAACTTACCTGAAAACATTTTGACAAAATCATCTGTGGTCATACTCATCACCACGTCGGCCTGACTGGCGGGCTCTCCTTGTCCAACATTCCCACCCTTACTTTTCAGATCAAGAAACCACATACCACCATCTTCACCTACACAAAACAAAGATAAGGAAATAAAGTTCATTGCTACGACAGTTTCAACAATCAAAAGGCTGTCTGTCCCTTAAAATCCTCAGGCCTCTATCAATCAAACTCAGTAAGCATTTACTAAGCACTTATATTCTGAAGTGTGCTAGGCTTCTGAAGACCCTTCAATAAAAAAGAAAAACAAGGCTCTTCTTACCAGAGGAAATAGAAGGTTATGGAGGTATGCTAATAAAGGACAGGAAACCTGGAGGAGTGAGATGCATATAGAAATCAGAACGATGGTTATGAGAGACAGAGGCAAAGGAAAATGGGCTGCTAGTGCTTATTGGATATACTTCAGCAGGGGATCACAAAACCTTCTGGAGATGGACAGTGGTCAAGAAAGGCAGAAAGGCTATTAAGGAAGAGACCAAAATGGAGGAAGGAAGAAGGAAGGAGTGGTCACCAGCCTCAGATCTTGCAGTGTAGCTGTAGGTAAGAATGGAAAATACCCACTAGTGGCACGGATATCATCTAGGACCCTGGTCAAACAAATTCTGTGGAACAACAACAACAAAAAAAAAATAAGAGTGAGCAGAGTATATTCAGGAGAGTGAGTTACAGATAAAAATAAGTTTGGCTCTGAAAAAGATAGGGAGTGTAAGGTTTAGGACCATCACTGCATTCTGTTCTGAAGACAGAACAGAGCTGAGAACATCAACTGTAGGGAAAGAGGCTGCAGGAAGAAGAACCTGAAGAGAAGGCACAGTTAACACACAGTTCTTGAGAGAGTCAGAGGAAAAAGGGCCTAGAACTTTGATACTGAATGTATCCTCCATGCTGTGTAGTACAGTTACCACCTGTCAGAAATGCAGAATCACAGACCCATCCCAGACCTACTGGATCAGACTCTACATCTGAGGAAGAGTCTAGGTACAATCAGTAAAGCTTGGGATGCACTGATGGAAAGCTATGTTGTCTGTTCCCCTGGGAGGTAAAGAAGGGCCTTTAACTACTGGTTTACATCTGAAGTTGAAGCCATTGGTTTATATCTGAAGTTAAAGCCATTGCTATCTTCAGCTTTCCAAGGTTTAAAATAATTGGCTGTGGAAAATGAGGCAGTAAGCTGAAAACCAAGAAATTTAAGGTGCTGCTCAGACCCCATTTGAAGAGGGAAAATAATGAATCTCTACTCACTAGTCCAGATCCACCAGGTGATAATTTTTCTTTTCTTTTTCTTTTCTTTTTTGGTCCAGCATGATACAACTCTGGGGCAGCTAGGTAGTTTGATCAGGTAGTTTGATTTGTCCAGCTATCCAGGTGACTGCTAGTAAAAGCTGGTTTCTTCCAAAGAAAACCCCACTTAGGTCACAAAAGCCCCAGATCATCAGACACAATCTTTACCTGAGAGTTCAAACTGATAGACTGCTTGCGTGGCTTTAACAACATCATCACTGAGAGAGTCCTTAACAATTCTAAATGTTTCTTCCACAGCTCCAGAATGGGATTTTGGTGGTGGCTGTGGCTTCTCTTTTTTTAGTTCTGGCACAGGATCTGTAAAATATTATTAAAATAAATAGCCTTAAAACCTTGGCCACACACAAAATTAGCAAAACAGAGTTGTTACCAAATAGCCCTATTTGACCAAATGATTTTAAATGTACTAAATGACATCTTAAAACATAAATCTAACTGATAGAAAAACAGTCAAACATCAGTTATGACTCTAAGTTTTATTCTCTAAGTAAAATCCAACTTTCAAATCAAGGTCACAACAACAAAACAAACTATTAAACAATACAATGTTTATCAAAGCAACTACAGTTTTAGGGATATTAATCACCCATCTCAGTTATAAGACCAAATGAGTAAAAAAGATAGAGATCTAGGGGGTTGGGGATTTAGCTCAGTGGTAGAGCGCTTGCCTAGCAAGAGCAAGGCCCTGGTTTCAGTCCTCAGCTCCGGAAAAAAAAGAAATAGAGATCTAAATACCTGTTGTGTAATCAGTAGAGCCAAATAATAATAGTAATAATAGTAATAATACTTTGCCTTGTTTGAAAAAGCATTTTAGTATAACTAAACATATACAATTCAAGAATGAATTAAAAAGAAATGAGACAGGTTTTAAAATGGCAACAGAATGCTCAACAACTCTCCCAAGGTTACATTACAGGAAGAAGCTCAACAGGAATCAGAATCAAGAAGTCTGATTCCAGAGACTACAATGCTGTGCACTGGTAATACTTTCTTACGCTCCTTCTGAATCTAATTTTTATAGAGCTAACATAAAAGCTGAACATAGAACTAAAATCTGAACTCACCACAACTGGCCCAAAGAGCTCTCAAGGCCAGGGTGGCAGAAACACTGACATTGTTTATGCTTCCATAGACAAAGAGTATTTAGTTGCATGGCAGTTACATCAGAAAGACGGAACTGCTGGAACCTCTCTTCCTGATGAGTGACTACTTTGGGTGATCTGTGCATCAAACAAGATATATTATTTGTATTGTCTGAGACACTAAAGACATTACAGCAAAAATTTGAGTATATCCCTGAAAGACATCTGTGAAGACATAATTTATCACCTGGAATATTTATACATAAATATGGTGACTTGGCATAAGAACCAAAACCCTGCAATATATTTGAAAGGTCTAGGCTTCAGACTACAGATATGTATGCTTAAATAGGGAAGAGATGCCTAGAACATTATAGGCTGGTATGATGACATATGCCTTTAGTCCAAGCACTCAGGAAGCAGAGGCAGGTATATGGATCTCTGAGTTCAAAGCTAGTTAGGTCTACATGGAAAAATTAAATAGGGTTGCAGGTGTAGCTTGGTATTAGGGCACTCACTTAACATGTCTGAATCTCAATATACCCCCCCTTTTGCACCCTCTCTCCCCCTTTTGCGCCCTCTCTCTCTCTCTCTCTCTCTCTCTCTCTCTCTCATACACACACACACACACACACACACACACACACACACACAATCTATGGTAACTAAATATAACTAAATAGTATGCAGACTCAACCTAATAAACATAGGCCTACCTGTTCTTTGGCTCAAAGCAGGAATTCAACCCTTTTTGTGTGTAGGTTTTAGGTGAAGAAAGGCCCATGTCAGCCTTGTACAATGGTAGTAGCTTAGAGTCATCTCAGAAAAAGGAATTCGACAGTGTGGAGCCAAAAGGCACATTTGTATCCCTAACATTTGACTACACTAGCTCTAGTGACAGCTATAAGGGGACAGATTAACAAGAAATAAAATAAATGACTTGATGCTTAAAAAAACAATATAGCACCAGGGTCAGAGAGGATTATACTGAAAAAAAAAAGCATTTCTAGAAATAATAATTTACTATGAAAGTCACACAAATTCCTCCATATGAAAACTGATAATGACTATTGATCTCAACTGTAACAATGTACCACTCTGGAGGAGAATGAAAGAAGGGGAGAGGCTGCACAAGGTTGGGCAAGAGGTAAAGAGGATGACCTGTGGACCTGCTTGATTTCATTGAGAACCTAAAGCTGATTTTAAAACTCAAGTCTTAGCTGGGCATGGTGGCGCATGCCTTTAATCTCAGCACTCGGGAGGCAGAGGCAGGCAGATCTCTGGGAGTTCAGGCCAGCTGGGCTACAGGGAGACCCTATCTCAAAAAGACCAAAAAAAAAAAGCAAAACAGCAAAATAAATCATAGGCAATATGAACAGAAATAAACTGTAGAGAATGTTGTCAGATTATTCTTTATAATATAGAAGACAAACTTGCCAAGATTTCTCAAAATAAGAAAAAAAATGCAAAAAGATGAATAATGAAGGATGGCATTAACTGCAGAGGAAAGGGTAGCCAAGTTAGGAATGACTGAAAAAAAGAAAGAAAAAAATGGAAAAGACAAGACTAAGTAGGCTGCTGGTATTCAAGACAGAATCAACAACAAAACAGCAATATTGTGTTTATAAAGAATAAAACTCCATTAATGTAAAACCATATTTAGTGCTTATACCAACTAGATATATATGATACAAATGAACACACACAGAACAAATTTCAGAAGAGATGCAGCCAAATGTTAACAGAGGCTGTTACCAAAAGTGAGTGCAAAGAAATGTGAACCCCTCACCTGGGAAAGGAGGTCTCACACTGAGCTTTGAGAGTTAAAATATGAAGTGAGCATGCAATGGATCTGAATATGAGCATGAAAAATCATCTGAAAGAGGTAAGTCCGACCCCAGGCTAGATATATGAGACTACTGCCTATGCAAATATACCACTGTACAGACAATGTCCACTAGAACTTCTAGGGATAAGATCAGAGAGTATAGGAAAAACAGAGCTATGGGAACAACTATGGAGAGGTTCACCAAAGGAATTGGAATATTCTGACCTCAGGGATGAGAAGAGCATTTCTGTAGTGGAAACGGATAAGGAACAATCTCCCTATCAAAGCCTGATGCCACTCAACTCATTTAACCCTCTTGTATTCTCTGAGCCCATGATCACAAAATGAGCTCCTGATATTACAGTTCCTTGTGTAATTATGCCCAAAGGGAGCAAATGTCCTGAACATAGTAACTATACATCTAGTCCCTGAGGTAGAAACTCCTCATTATAAATTAATGTATGAGACTACTAGGAGGAAGAAAAGGCTATTTTAAAGGAGTTTAAAAATTCAGGCCTTAAGAAAACCAGTTGTATATTTTGGTTAAAGACAGAGGCTCTGGAATAAGAAAAACATGATTTTGAGATTTAGTTATTTTTTTAATGTGTATGAGTGTTTGTCTGCATGTATGGATGTATACATGTGCACCACATGCATGCCTGGTGCCCACAGAAATCAGAATAGGACATCCATCAGATCCCCTGAAATTGGAGGTATGAGTGATTGTAAGCCACCATGTTGGTGCTGAGAATCGAACCTGGACCCTCTGCTAGAACAGTAAGTGCTTTTAAACAAAGAGCCATCTCCTTAGCTCCAAAACATGAATTTAAATCCTGGTTCTGCCACCTTCCAGTGACATGACTGCAGCTATGAACAAGGGCAGGAATTCCTCTCTTGCCCAGTCTTTAATAGAAAACAAGATAATGCATGCAAAGTTGCTGGCACAGTATTTAGCACACCATCGGCACTCAGTCAATAGTTACTGAATAAACAAAATGAAAATGTGGTAATCAATAAAAATGTTTCCTACCTGAAACTGGGAATTAAAAAAAAATGGGAATTTAGATAAACTCAATTTATGTATATCTTCCTCCAAAAGACAGGGCCTCAAAAATCAGGATTTAGGGCCTCTTGCCTTGAAGATCAGATTCAAAGATTTTATGAGTTCTGGGTAATTTCTGCCATCTGTAAGGAGCTTTTTAAGAGAAAGACTGATGATCTTGTTTTCTTAGGTTTTCCTCCCCTGATGAATCAAAGATCTAATCTTTACAAAGCTGCCCCTGGGTTGCAGGACTATGAGTTCCTATTTTCCTCTCTGTAGCTTTTATCTTTTCTATTAGACAAAAGAAAAATTGTCCTTTTATTACTTAACTTTTTAACTTCCTCAAAATTTTAGATAAAAGACAGACATAGAAAAGATATACCTAAACTGGAAATAAGGTTTGGCAATAAAATGCATCATGATAAGGGCCTGTAAGTATCCCAAAAGTACAGAGAAAATTTCCTAAATTTTTCTACTCAGTCTTCAAAAAAATAAAAATAAAAATCTGCTAGGCATGGTGGCACAAAACATTAATCCAGCACAGGCAGGTAGATCTCTGTGAGTTCAAAGCCAGCATGGTCTACATAAGAGAGTTCCAGGCCAGCCAATGCAACATACAGTATTCCAGAGCAGCCAATGCTACATGGTGAGACCCAGTCTAAAACAAAAAAAATCTAGGCCTATAGAGATGGCTCAGCAGTTAAATAGCACTGGCTGTTCTTGCAGAGGACCTGGGTCCAGTTCCCAGCATCCACATGGCAGTTAACAACTGTTTCTAAGTTCCAGGGGATCCAATACCCTTTTCAAGCACTGCACTCATGGTGCACTTGCATACATATCGGCCAAACACTCGCATACCTAAAATGAAAATAAATAAAATTCAAAAATAAAAAGATTTAAAAAAAATAAAAATCAAAAAAAAAAAAATTTAAAAAAAAAAAAAAAAAAAAGCCTATGATCACGTAGGTGATTCACAGTACCTACAAGACAGGCAATAAGGTAAGGCCCATAAGAAGGACAGCCATTCCTATGAGTAAACCAGGAGAGCTCTTACCAGGAGTATTTGTTACAAAATGTTTCTTTTGGTATGTTTCAGTTAAACCACAGGTGTAACGCTATAACACAAGGATTAACACTTAAAACTCTCAGAGCTGGATAGATGGCTCAGCAGTTAAGGGTACTTACTGCTGCTCTTGCAGAGGACCTGGGTTCCATTCCTAACACCCACATGGCCAATATAGTTCCTGGGGATCTGATGCCCTGTTCTGGCCTCCATGGGCACTTGCATGTACCTGGTGCACATGAACTTATTCAAGCACACACACATACACATAAATTAAAAGAATTTTTTTTTCTTAAGTGTAAACTCTGAGGGGCTAGAGTGGTTAAGAGCACTTACTGCTCTTGCAGAAGACCCATGTTTGGTTCCCAGCATCCACACATGGACAGCTAACAACTGTCCAAAATTTGAGTTCCAGGGGTGCTGACGCCCACTTCTGGTCTCCATGAACAATGCATGCATATGGTGTGACATGAAGTCAAAATACTCATATGCAAAAATAAAAACAAATTTTTAAATAAATAAGTAAACAAATAAAACCAAAACAACTTTTGAAATTTACTTCATTCAAAAAGTACTCATATAGTACAAACTGTGAAAATTGTGGTAGACATATTTTGATGAGACACATTTTTCCTCAAAAGAAAATGAAATATTTAAGGACAATGTGTCAAGAAAAATACATAAAACTTAGGACAGTTTAAAACACACATTGTAATTTAATGTGTTTAAATTACAAAAGGATTAGAGGCAGAGGGCTAAAAAGTCAATTATACGATCAATTCCATGTTTTATGAGAAATAGTTAACTAAGAGTCTGTATTTTCCTTTAAAATAAGCTCTAGGCTGAGTGTGATGGTGAAGGCCTTTAATCCCAGACATAATCGGATTTCTGTGAGTTCAAGGCCAGCCTGGTCAACATAGTGAGCACCAGGCTAGCCATGGCTACACAGTGAGACCCTGACTCAAAAATAAATAAATAAATAAATAAATAAAACTCTAGAATCTTACCTTCTGATTCTTTTTTCTTCATAATTACATCTGGATGTTCATCTAAGAAGAAATCTGGTAACAAAGGATGGCCTGAAAAATTAAGCCCCAAATAATCAGGTTAACATAATGACTACAATATATGATATATTAAAAATTTAACCTTTTTAGGGCATGGTGGTGCACACCTTTAATCCCAGCAGTCGGGAGGCAGAGCCAGGCAGATCTCTGTGAGTTCAAGGCTGGCCTGGTCTACATAGTGAGTTCCAGGGCAGGTGGGGCTACAGGGAGACCCTGAAAAAAAAAAAAAAAAAAAAAAAAAGGGACAAACTAATCGTTCCCTTCTTTTGAGACCTGTCTATTGAACTCACTAGCCTATTTACTGATTGAAAAATCTGTAGGTTTTTTGTTTAACTTCTTCAGTTCTTTATATAGTCTATATATTAACTCAATCTGAAATACAGATAGCAAAGATTTTTTTTATTATTATTCTGTAGGCTATACCTTTACTTTGCCAACAGCTTCCTTTGATGAGCATAAGTCTTTCAATTTCATATAATACCATTTGTCAATTCTTGGGATTATTTCCTGTGCTATTGAAGACCTTTTCAGAAAGTCTTTGCCTATACCTTTTTTCAATTTTAAAAATTTTACATTATGTATATGAATGTTCTAGCTACATGTATGTACATGTATCCATGTCAGGCAATGCCCACAAAGGCCAAAAAAGGGCATTGGATCCCCTGAAATAGGATTTACAGATGGTTGTTATCTACTGTGTGGGTGCTGAGAACTGAACTGGAGTCCTTTACAAGAGCAACCAGTGCTCTTAGCCTCTGAGCCATGTCTCCAATCCCTGTATCTATATTTTAAAGAGCTTTCCCTATGTTTTCCTCTAGAAACTTCAGTGCTTCAGGTCTTTAATTCATTTTGAATTGATTTTATACAGAGTGAGATATGTACCTAATTTCATTCTTCTGCATGTGGATATCCAGTTTTCCTAGCACCGTTTGTTGAAGAGGGTGTCTTTTCCCACCAATTTTTAAAATCTTTGTCCAAAATTAGGTGACTGTATGCTCTGTGGATATATTTCTGGGTCTTTGATTCCATTCTACTGGTCCACATGTCTGTTTTTGTGCCAGCACCTTGATGCTTTGTCACTATGGCTCTATAGTATAATTTGAGGTCAGGTATTGTGATACCTGTAGCACTATTCTTTCCACTTAGGATTATTTTGGCTCTTTGAGGTCTTTTGTGCTTCTTAGATTTTAGGATTGTGCAAGGAGATGGGGAAGGAGAGTGGAGCAGGAAGATCAGTAAGAACAATGTATGAAAGTATCATGCTGAAATTCGTTACTCTGTATGCTGATTTTTTTTTTTTTTTTTTTTTTTTTTTTTTTTTTGGTCTTTTTGAGACAGTGTCTCCCTGTAGCCCCACCTGCCCTGGAACTCACTATGTAGACCAGGCCAGCCTTGAACTCACAGAGATCGCTTGCTTCTGCCTCTGGAGTGCTGGGATTAAAGGCGTGTGCCACCACGCCCAGCCTGTATGCTGATTTTTAAAAACTAATAAAAGAATTTTTAAAACTGTACCTGTCATATTGCTCATTGGCATTCAGGCTAAGATCAAGTATTAAAAAAAAAAAAAAAAAAAAAAAATCACCTGCCCTGTAAAGCCTTTGCTTGTCATCACAGGAGGCTTTGTCATCCTCCTCCTCCTAACCCTTTTGTCTTACATCCCTCCAAAGTGCTAAAGATTCATTTCCGTCTTGGCCCTGAGAGAAGGGGCCTATTAAGGACTTGCTTCTCAGCATTCCTGTGTTTGGCTCTTTGCTCTCTTCTTCTTTCTCTCTCTCTCTCTACCATCATGAAAACTAAGCAAAACGTAAGTTATTCCTTTTCACTGGGCCTTATTTTCAGCTAACGGTTGTAGTTAGAAAGTAAGTTAAGGGGCTGGAGAGATGGCTCAGCAGTTAAGAACACTGACCCTTCTTATAGAAGACCTGGGTTTGATTCCCAACATCCACACGGATCCAACAGCCTGTAGGTAAGGTGCACTTACCTACATGCAGGCAGTACACTCAAACACATAAAAAATAAAATAAAATAATCTTACAGAAACTTGGAACTTGGGGAAAAATCAGTTCAGATTCAAATTGCAACTTTGCTTCTCACTAGATTTGTGGTCTTCAGCATGTCACCTTAACTTTTTTGAGCTCTAATTTCCTTATTGGTAAAATTAAGACAATAATTTTTTTCAAAAAATATATTTTGTTTATCATTTTTATATTTTTATGTGTATGCATGTATTGCCTGCATGTAGGTGAGTGCATCCATGTCATGCAATGCCCGGGGAGGACAGAAGAGGCTGTCAGATCACCTGAGACTGGCGTTATGGACAGTTATTAGCTGCCATATGGGTGCTGGGATTCGAACCTGGGTCTTCTGCACGAACAATCAATGTTCTTAACCACTGAGCCATCTCTCCAGCCCTGAGAATAATTCTTTCTGTTGTGCAATGCCTGTGGAGGTCAGAAGAGGCTGTTGGATCCTCTGGGACTGGAGTTATGGACAGCTGTTAGCTGCCATGTGGGTGCTGGGATTTGAACCCAGGTCTTCTGCAAGAACAACCAGTGCCAGCACCATGATGCTTTATCACTATGGCTCTATAGTATAATTTGAGGTCAGGTATTGTGATACCTCTAACACTATTCTTTCCGCTTAGGATTACTTTGGCTCTTTGAGGTCTTTTGTGCTTCTTAGAATTAGAATTTTGTGCTTCTTATAATTGTTCTCAACCGCTGAGCCATCATCTCTCCAGCCCCTGATAACCTTTTTTAAAGACAGGGTCTCACTGTTTAGCTCTAGCTGACCTAACTAACTCACTGTGTAGAAGAGGCGGGCCTTCAACTCAGAGAGATCCACTTGCCTCTGCCTCTCTGAGTACTAGGAATAAAGGCATGTATCACCACACCAGGCGGCTGCAAGATAGCTTTTAAAAGAATATATTCATTTTACAAACACACAAAACAGGTGTGTTCACTGCAGAAAATGTAGAAAAACGTATCACTACTTTAAAAAAACTGTTAAGTATTACCTGGTGTAACTGCATAGACGTCAAAGTTTTTTATTCCTTCTTCTTTTAAGATATTTTCATCAATAATAAAGTTGCCAGTGAAACTTTTTGGCTTGTTGAAAATGGCGTATGCAGCATCTGCGATGATGTCAACTTTTCTACACTGGCTTTCAATGCCAGATCCTCCCAGCATATCCATAGCAGCGGTGTGGATGGCTGCAGACAAACACATACATGCACTTGACTCCAACCACAGAGGTAGCAAGCACCACCCTCAAAACTGCCGGGAGCACTTCTCAGATGATGCAAACAAAACCCAGAAAGGTTAGCTGAGGAATTCACTACATGTTCTTTAGACAGAACTAGGGGAAAAATACTCAATACACTGCTGCCATAGATAGCACAAGACTTCTTAAGCACAGCAAATCTATTGAGTTTTCTGATTTAGAATGTTCAAGAATGTGCAGAGCAGTCTTGGGTCAAGAACGCCAGTAAGGAATAGCAGAAAGGACTAAAAGATGGGCGAGTGGAATTTTTTTAACTTTTTAAAAAAATCTTTGTATGTGTATTTTGCCTGCATGAAAGTGCACCCATGCATGCAATGGCCATAGAGGCAAGAAGAGGGTGTCGGATCCCTGGAATTGGAATTACAGGCGAGTTTTTGCCGCCATGTGGATGCTGGTAACTGAACCCAGGTCCTCTGCAAGAGCAGCCAGTGCTCTTAACCTCTGAGCCATCTCTCCAGCCCCAGTGTGTCTTGACTTTTGGTAAGCCACTTTAACATCCTTGGGTCTCAGCTTCCTGTTTCTAAAATAGGGCTCTCCCTTTCCAATGTTTATAATTGCTCTGCACTAGAAAACAGACTGAATCCCAGCACTTGGGAGGCAGAGGCAGGCAGATATCTGTGAGTTCAAGGCCAGCCTGGTCTACACAGTGGGTTCCAGCCTGGTCTACACAGGGTCCTCTGGGACAGCTGGGGCTATAGGGAGACCCTGTCTCAAAAAGACCAAAAAAAGAAAGAAAACACAAGACTGAATTTCTTGGTCATCACTATATCTCCAGTGTCTAAAACAATGACAAGGCTCTAAGTGTAGCTTAGTGGCAGAGCTCTTCTCTAGGAGGAGCAAGCCCCTGGGCTCAACCCCTGTACTATCCATGTCACCATGCCCCAACATAATCCCAGCACAGCAAAATAATAATAAGCTATGATGCTGTGCACATGCATGGTAGTAGAATTTAAGAATAAGGAATGGTGCTCCCAAACAACCTTTCATTATGTTAACTTAGGTATAGGAAGGCGCAAAGGGATTCAAGAGGTAGGCCACAGAGCTATATTCAATAAAGATAGTCAATGGGCTATAAAAACTAGTAGCAAGGTTGGGCACAGTGGCAGCATCTATAATCACTGCTACTAGGAAAACAAAGGAAGTAGGATCATAAGTGTGAGACCAGCCTGGGCAAGACCTTGACACACACACACACACACACACACACACACACACACACAAGGGAGAAAACAACAGCAACAAAAGTTAGCAATAGGATCAACAAAATGAAATTTGCAATTTGCTGATGACTTCTGGTTAAGAAAATAAGATTTGTCAGTGAACATGGATAAGCCTTGGATTATAAGAATCATAAAAGGTGAGCAGGGCCTTGTGGTACATACATGTAACCCAAGGTTATGGAGAATTATGAGTTTGAGGTTAGTCTGGGCTTATACAGACTAACAGCTAGACACTGTTTCAAAAAGGTATAAAAAACCGGGCTTGGTGGTACATGCCTATAATCGCCAGCAAAGGCAGGCAGGTCTCTGTGTTTAAGGACAGCCTGGTCTCCATAGCAAGTTCCAGGCCAGCAGGGGCTACAGGGAGACCCTAGCTCAGGTGAAAAAAAAAAAGAAAAGAAAGAAAGTGTATAAAAAGAAACACACACAAAGAGAAAACAGAGAGAGAGAGAGAGAGAGAGAGAGAGAGAGAGAGAGAGATCATAAGAGAGAGATCATGGGGCTGGAGAGATGGCTCAGCAGTTAAGAACACTGTTCTTGCAGAAGACCTGGGTTTGAATCCCAGCACGCACATGGCAGCTAACAACTGTCCATAATTCCAGTTCCAGGAGTTCCAACGTTTCTTCTGTCCTCCACAGGCATTGCACGACACGGGCACACTAGCCTACATGCAGGCAATACATGCATACACATAAAAATATAAAAATAATAAATTTTTTTTTTGTCTTTTTGAGACAGGGTCTCCCTGTAGCCCCAGCTGTCCTGGAACTCACTATGTAGACCAGGCTGGCCTGGAACTCACAGAGATCCGCCTGCCTCTGCCTCCTGAGTGCTGGGATTAAAGGCGTGTGCCACCACACCCGGCAATAAAATTTTTTTTGAAAAAAAAGAGATCGCCAAGCGTGGTGGTGCACACCTTTAATCCCAGCACTCTGGAGGCAGAGGCAGGGGGGTCTCTGTGGGGTTGCGGCCAGCCCGGTCTACAAAAAGGGGTTCACGGACGCTGGGGGTACAAGGCGGGCCTGTCTTCAAAAAACAAAAAAAAAAAAAAAAAAAAAAAAAGGAGAGAGATCATAAGAGAGCTAGGGTTTGAGAGCACTTGACTAGCATGGTTAAAGTCTTAGACTTGATCTCTAGCAAAACACATACATACACACACACACACACACACACGACCCTAAAACTTGAGTCTTATTAAGAAATAATTGGAGAGCTATCTAGATATCTAGATAACCGTTTCTGACTGATCCTTTTTACTTCTGACTACTCAAAAACAAACAGTAGCAGTAGTCTTAAAACCAAAGATTTCACTTTATATAAACATATGTAGTACATATCAGGCTTAAAATATCAGCATTGCCTCAATCCCTGCCCTGGGGAAAGTGCTCATCTCACCTCTTTAACACCTGCCAGTTCACAAAACATTCAAATGTATTTGTGTATGCACTCATGAACCAATGACACCTCTGATTATAAAGTGCACATTACTGTAAGTACCACTAAGGGAACAAAAGAGCTGCTATCTAAACAGTCATCATCAAACTGTAAAGCCCATACTGACATTAGCAGCATAAAACATTTTGATATTGGAGATTAAAACATGAGCATCTCAGAATCAACGACATCTGGTATAAAGAGCTGTTTAACCTAATCAGTGAGTAGGTCCCTTGAATATCACTGAATTTGTTGTGAATTCTAACATCAGAGAGAAAGGAGGCAAGCTGTCACCTTGTCTCCCTACCCTCCATGCTTAACTCAGTTTTCACATCCATTTGTATGTGACCCTCCTCTGTGCTGCCATTACCAAATCAGTGGCTGCATCTCCTAGATGCTCCACCCAGTCAACATAAAATCCACCCCAAAGTAGATTTCCTTTTTACCACTCCTATCTAGATCAGCCAAGGGTTAAGAGGCAGCCACTCCCTATCCACAGCAGAGACCATGAAAAGCTCTGATTAGAAAAATTTATAATCCTGGAAGTTGGCCTAGCTGGGAGCTAAGATTCTCCTGCCAGGAAAGTACTAGAATCCCCTGCCCCCAATCCCTTCTCTAAGCATGTTGAATTCATTAAAGAGAAAATACTAAAGATGGGAAGGGACAGCTGCCAGTGTGGAAAAGGAACACTGAGCCCAAAGAAGACAAGTGGCTAGCCAGGACACTGATCTGCTGTATAATATACAATCCATTAAGTAGGATTAAATCCCCTTTCCTTGAAAGGTTATCACATTGGGAGACTACTTCTGATTCCACTTACATACTGTGTCTTCTACTCAGTCCAAGACAAGGAAATGTGTGTTTTTAAAAACAGACACCTCAGCGTCAATCTGGGGCCTAGTTACCCTCTCAAATCCACTTTCATTTACCCATTTTCATTACCTTACTCATGAATAATGAATCTTCTGGTTGACTTTCCTGTCTCTTTTCTCTGTAATTTCATACTCCGTACAATGATCACATGCCAAATTAAATGTCCTATACCTCATCAACAACTGTATTACTTTATTGCTCCTCTTTCCTCTCTGTTTCTCATTACTTCCATCCTTTCAAAATCTTTTTAATAGTACTCTACTAAATATAGCTCTAGTAAACCACTTGCCTAGCATGTGTGAGACCTTCATTTAATTCCCAACACCAAAAAAAAACCAAAACAATTCATTTGCTAAAGTTGGCAACCTAGTTCACCCCTCCCCGCCTTGTCCACCCAACATTCCAGTGAACTGAAGGACCACAGTTATTCAAGTGCAGTGCGAAATAACATCTCACAACCTATCATATGGACACCATCAAACTCATGAGAGTTCCATCACGTTTCCCATGTTGTATGTGTTTTCATGTGCTGTTCCTGCTGTCAGTGTATCTTACCCAGTTTCTTTCTTGCTATCCCTAACATCTCCATGAGATCTTATTTCAATTGTATTCCTCCATGAGAAAATCTTTTTTAACCCTTTAACCTAGGCTACATGACCTGCTTGCTGTGTTTCAAAACCACCCTATATGAGGCTGGGCATAGAGGCACATGCCTTTAACACTTGCACTCAGGAGGTAGAGTCAAGGTTCCAGGCCAGCCTGGTGTACCTAGTTCCAGGACAGCCAGGGCTACATAGTGAGACTTTGTTTCAAAAACAACAAAAAAGTATTCCATATGTACTCCATCTTGTCATGTATCACAGGGAACATAACTATAAATTTAACTGTGTTATCAGATCTACAACAAAATACTTAACACTGATTCCAAGATGCCTAATAAACCATCCAAAACAAACATCTCAGAGCTAAAGCAAAGACCTCAACAAATCCTTTCCATCCTGGTGACAGCCTCCATACTTCCTGTCATACAATGTCCACCTGCTACATAAGCTTTGCTCAGAATGTCTATTCTGGAGCTCATTCATTCATTCATTCATTCACTATTTGTCCAATAGTTCCTGACTGCAATGACTATAATAAAACGAATGCAACAGACACCAACCCTTTCTTGAAGTTTTCATTATAGCAAAGGCAGTACTAGAAAACCATAATTATAAACTGTTCTGGTTAGCTTTCTATTGCTGAGATTAAAAAAAAAAAACAAAAAAAAACCTGCAAAAAATAACACTAACCAAAACCAACCTGGGGAGGAAAGAGTTTATTTGGCTTACAGCTCAGAATCCATTATCACAGAATGCAAAGGCAGGAACTCAGGGCAGGAGTGAAGCACAAACCCTAGAGAAACACTGCTTACTGGCTTGCTCCTCTGGCCTGTGCTTAGCCTGCATTCTTTTTTCTTTTTAATATTTTATATAGGGACTGGAGAGATGGCTCAGTGGTTAAGGGCACTGGCTGTTCTTGTAGAGGACCCGGGTTCAGTTCCCAGGACTCACATGTGGACTAACAACTGTCCGTAATTCCAGTTCCAGGGAATCTGACCCCTCTCTTCTGACATCCAAGGGCATTGCATAACATGGCTGTACTTACATACATGCAAGTAATACACTCATATACATAAAATAAAAATAGTAAATAAAATATTTTTTATTATTTATTATCTTTTTAAATTTTATTTATTATTTATGTGTATGTGTGTATTATCTGTATGTGTGTAAGTGCACCTGTGTCGTGCAATGCCCATGGAGGTCAGAGGGCGTCAGACCCCCTGGCACTGGAGTTATGGACAGTTGTTAGCTGCCATGTGGGTGCTGGGATTCGAACCCGGGTCTTCTGCAAGAACATTCAGTGTTCTTAACTGCTGAGCCATCTCTCCAGGCCCATAAAATATTTTTTTTTAAAGTGCCTCAACCCGGTTTTGATTCCCAGCACCCACATGGCAGCTACGAACCATCCTTAACTCCAGTTCCAGGGGAATCTGAAGCCCTCTTCTGACCTCCACAGCATTGCAAGACACAGGTGCACTCACATACATGCAGGCAATACACTCAAACACATAAAATATAAGTATTAAATAAAATATATTAAAAAGTGCCTCAAAACTCTCATGTGAAGTTCTGGCCAGTTTATAGACATACTCAGCCCACTAATTCCACTGCTCTTGGCAGTTTTTAGTTAAATCAGCAGCAGCAACTACGATCATCTGAACTAGAGCAATCTTATAAGATTTAGATTTAGGCACAAGTTTACAGGAAGCCCTATTTTCTTCCTTTTCCTCTTTTTATTAAGCTGTCTTACTTTTTTCTTTCTTTTTTTTTTTTTTTTTTTTTTTTTTTTTTTTTGTCTTTTTGAGACAGGGTCTCCCTGTAGTTCCAGCTGCCCTGGACCTCCCTATGTAGACCAGGCTGGCCTTGAACCCACAGAGATCCACCTGCCTCTGCCTCTCAAGTGCTGGGATTAAAAGCATATACCACCATACCTGGCCTTACTTTAAATATTAGTATTTATTTTTAATATATACATCAAACTGAGTTTCGTCATCCTATCTTACCTTCTCTCCAACTTTCTAATGTTGCAATGACCAATAATCCTTGCTCTTTTACTCACATCCTAGATTTCACCTAATCTTGTGGGTTTCTTATTCATTGCTGATAACACTCAAACTCATAACCTGCAGTTGCCTCCAATCAATCTTTACTTAGATGTTCCAACACAATGCCTCAAACTGAACTGGTTGCTCAACTACAGCTTTCTCCATCTCAGTTCATGTAAATTCATTGTTCTGATGACTCTGCCAAAAGCGTTAAGAGTCACTGTGATGCTTCCTTCTCTCTCATCCTACCTTGAACCCATCAGCAGATCCTGCAGTACCACCTTCAGACTATCTTAGCACCTGACCAATCTCCCTACTTTTACTGTTCCCATCCAGGGCAGACACCAGCATTAGTGACTAGATATTTCAGTAAACTCCAAATGATTTTTCCCTTAGCTTGTTATGACATGACTGGATGAATCAGGAAAATCCAGAAGGATGGAAATCCTATAAGATAATGAGCTGTGTTTTCAAAAAAGTGAGAAGGAAAAAAAAATTAAGAGTGAAATTAATTAGATTAAAAATACGTGAGACTTAGCTGATAAATGCATGAAACCTGTTTAAATCCTAATTGGAATAAACCAATCACAAAGAAAATATTTATAAGATCCTTGAGACAATCTTAACACTGGCTAGTTGATATTTTAAAAAATATTTTGCTATTTTTATTATTTATATAATGTATATGAGTGTACTGACTACATGTATATATGTGAACCCATGTCATGCAATGCCCATGAAGGTCAGAAGAGGGTGTCAGATCTCCTGGAACTAGCATTAAGGACGGTTGTTAGTTGCCATGTAGGTGCTGGGAACTGAACCTGGGTCCTCTGCAAGAGCAGCCAGTGCCGTTAACCTTGGAGCCATCTATCCAGCCCCAATTTGATGATATTAAAGTAAATAGTGTTAATGATGTTTAACAACAATGACTTTATGGTTTATGTTTTAAAAAGCCCCTTCCCTTTAAAGAACCACTTTATAAAGTATATATAGATGAAATGACAGTAAAACAGCACCTTGGTTAGTTTTTATTGTCAACTTGACACAACCTAGAGTCACCTGGGAAGAAACCTCAATTAATAATTGTCTTTTCTGTATTTTGACCAGTTGTGTAACTTTGTAATAATCTCTACCTGTTGCAGAAAGAAGCTTCTTAATGAGTGGTGAGAGGTATACCTGTCTGTAAAGATAAGGCTCCATATTTAGAATACAGTAAGACAATGGAGGCCTGGCTTGTTAAGCCTCAGAGGGAAAGCAAAGACTATCAGGGTTCTTTGTATGATATTTTAGATTAAGAAATCTGTGGAAGTGAAACTTTTGTGCTTCACTACGTCAAAGGATGCTGGTCAGCTGGGGTTAAATAATCAGCTGTGATTAATAAGAGATCGGCATCACCGGTGTGGAATCTTTTGGGAAGTATTTCCTCAGAGTCAGCACATAGAAGCTGTGGTCCAGGGTGGTCAAGGCTGCATCTCAAACTGGTAGCCAAACTTGGCAAGAATCTCCCATCTGGCACTGGTTTTGAAGGCATGGGAGATGCAAGATTGAGGGAATCATAAAAAGCAGCTGAGGCCTGAGGCCTGAGACCATGGGGCAGGGCCAAAATGCCTAAAAAAGAAGCTAGAAGAGGGCATTGGTGAAGGTACAATCCTGACAGCAATAGGATACCAGGATATCAGCGATGCCAGGAATCCACCAAGGACATGAAGGATAGCAGCAGGTATGGAGTGAAGCTGGCCTGAACCTGTGAGACAAGTTGTGGGTAAGCTATGGAAGGCAGAGCTGGAGAGGTAGAACTGCCCAAGCCCTTTGCAGCCCAGAAGATAATGAGTTCCAGATGTCAGACACTGAGTTCTGGATTCTGGTTTTGCCTAAGTGTGATTGTTCTTGTGCCTTGGTTCTTCCCTTCTGGAATAAGAAGTATTTAACTTATGTTTGAGTTTTACAGGAGCCCAGAGTCAAGAGACTTTGAATTTTTTTTTTTTTTTTTCGGTCTTTTTGAGACAGGGTCTCCCTGTAGCCCTAGCTGTCCTGGAATTCACTACGTAGACCAGGTTGGTCTTGAACTCAGAGATCCGCCTGCCTCTGCCTCCCAAGTGCTGGGATTAAAGGCAAGCGCCACCACGCCCGGCTAAGACTTTGGATTTTTTAATGAGAAATTGAACTTTTAAAAGTTTTGGAATTAAAAAAAAAAGTTTTGGAATTTTTAAAGACTGGGACTTGAACACTATGGTATTATGAGATCTTGGGGACAAACATGAAAGAAAATATATGATTTAACACTGCTGTGTTTATGCATCAAGTTGACTAGAGATGAGGTTTCTTGGTTAGTTTTTGTTTCTTGTTTTTTCTTTGTCAAACTGACATGACCTAGGAAGAAAGAATTTCAACTGAAGAATTTCCTCCATGGGAAAGCTCTAGCTGAGGATCAACTGGCAACTGACAGATGCTGGGAGAGGAAAAGAGTCACTTTTCCTTACTAGTGTGCTGCCTGCTAGGTTAACCAGACTTCAAGGGATAGACTCACATCCAAAAGCACTTGGGAAACAGTGGCTCATCCTCCATTGCTTTATGAACCTGTTAGAATGTTGTTGTGGCCGGGTGTGGTGGCATACACCTTTAATCTCAGCACTTGTGAGGCAGAGGCAATTGGATCTCTGTGAGTGCCAGGGCAGCCTGGTCTACATAGGGAGTTCCAGGCCAGCTGGAGCTACAGGGAGATCCTGTCTCAAAAAAAGACCCCCCCCCAAAAAAAATTCTCAAATCGGGGCTGGAGAGATGGCTCAGCAGTTAAGAGCACTGACTGCTCTTGCAGAGGACCTAGGTTCGATTCCCAGCATCCACATGGGTGGCTACGAACCATCCTTAACTCCAGTTCCAGGGGAATCTGAAGCCCTCTTCTGACCTCCACAGCATTGCAAGACACAGGTGCACTCACATACATGCAGGCAATACACTTATACACAAAAAATAAAAATTTTTTTTTAAATTCTCAAATCAATAATAAAAATATTTTTAAGGAGCTGGAGAGATGGCTCAGTGGTTAAGAGCACTGGCTGCTCTTCCAGAGGACCCAAGTTCTGTTCCCAGCACCTATATTGTGGCTAACAATGGTCCATAACCACAGTCTATCACTGCCCACCTTATTCCCGTGAGGCAGGGTTTCTCACTGAACCTGGAGCTAGGCTGGTCACTAAAAAGCACCAATGATATCCTGTCTCTGCCCCCCACAGGGCTGGACTTGTAGGTGCCACCACACCTGGCGTTTACATGGATACTGAGAATTACACTCAGGTCCCTCATGCTTGCATAATAAGCACTTTACTAAACGAACCATCTCCTCACCCCTAACACTCAGTGCTTTGCATCTAGCTACAACTACCACTTCTTGTAATAAGCCTTTCCATCTGAAAAGTCTAAGAGGACTTGCTGAAAATTTTTCTGTTGGGCTTAAAGAGACTCTCCATATGCTCCAGGGTTGCAGTCCCAGCATAGTTGCTACCTAAAGAATCAGTCCTGTAGTCTGAGTTAAAGCTGGAAGATAAAAAAGCCGGGCATGGTGGCACACACCTTTAATCCCAGCACTTGGTAGATAGGGATGGAGTTGTAGCTCACTGGTAGAATGCTAGTCTAACATAAGTGACACACTAGGTTCCTCCTCCAGCACAGGGGAGGCCAGTTGCAAATCTAATTAATGAATTTCTTTTAGGTACATACCTGTTTTAGGCCATAAAGCATTGACGGCAATTTCACCTCTAAATTCTTCTGCCATTCCAAGCACACACATTGACATACCATACTTGGCAATGGTATAAGCTGAAAGAAATGATATTATCATTTAATTGAGACACTAATTTGAGCGTAGAAATAGTTTCTTTCTGTTGCTGTTTTCTCCCAGATAAAATTTTGACAATTCTTTTTCAACAATATTAAGTATATAAAATATAAATTTTCAAATATGCTGTTTTTATTTTATTGTTTTTTAAAATATTTTATTATTTTTATTTTATGTGTATGAGTGTATTGCCTGCATGTATGTGAGTGCACCTGTGTTGTGCAATGCCACAGAGGTCAGAAGAGGGCTTCAGATTCGAGAGCTTCAGAGGACGGTTCGTAGCCACCATGTGGGTGCTGGGAATTGAACCCAGGTCCTTTGCAAGAGCAGTCAGTGCTCTTAACCACTAAGCCAAGACTCCAGCCCTTATTGTTTTTTTCTGTTGTTTTTTTTTTAAGGCAATGCCTCAAGCAGCCCAAGCTGGCCTCAAATTCCCTACGTAGCCAAGGATAACTCTGAACTCCTGATCTTCCAGCCTCAGTCTCCCAAGTGCTGGGAATACTGGTATGAGTCACAGTATCTGACCAAATGTGCTGGTTTTTGTTTCTGTTTGGTTTTGTTTGTTTGGTTCTGATTTGGTTTTTTTTTTTTTTTTTTTGAGCTTGAGGACAATTTTATTGGAGTTTAAAAGAAAAACCCTCAGGGCAGGCAAACTGTAAATCTCAGCAGCAGCCTGGAGGAGATGGAGGAGAGAGGAAAAAAGACTAAAGCCAGCATGGAGGTCAAAGGACAGACAAACTAGTTGCTACATGGTGGGGAGCAGTAGCTTTAGAGAAAGAAGAAGGAAACCCCAAATGTTGAGACACCCCAAAGAGTTAGGGGAAACATGCTTAGAAAAGAGAGAGAAAGAAGAAAGGGAGAAGCTATGCTTTTTTGAAGAATTTAGAAAAGTGACAGACTTATGAAGCTCCAAGGTTGAGGCCCAGTAAGCTGCTGCCAAGTGTGCTGTTTGTAAACAAGTTTTTAAGGAAGTAACTGATCAGAGATAGACCAGTTTTATATTATTTCCATTCGAATATATAGTTAAAATTGTATCTTTTTTCTTTCTTTCTTTTCCTTTGTTTCTTTTCTGAGTTAGTGTATCACTACTATAGCCCAGGGTGGCTTTGAATTGCCAGCATTCTGGCCTCAGACTCCTATGTGCTAGGATAACTGGCATGTGCCAGCACACATGACTTTTCTTTATTAAAAAAAAAATGAAATTGACCTAGAAAGATGGCTCAGCAGTTAAGAGCACTGGCTGCTCTTGCAAAGGACTGGGTTCAGTTCCCAGCACTCATATGGCTGCTAACAATGTAATAGGGCACCTTCTTGACCATGTTAAAGTTTAGGCTGACTCTAGTCTCTGAAATTATCAGACAGTTGGCCCAGGATATGGGAACACATGCAAGCTGGACCCTGGTTGTCTTGGGAACAGGTCAGAGCGTCCTAGAGTGTTCCCGCTAACTGCAGATTTATGGCTTCTGTAGGTTATGTTTGGCTTGCTTTCGCAAAATAGTAATTGTTGGTTAATAGACTAGAAATTAGTTAGGGGACTCTCCACCTGTATGCTTGGGAACCTAAACTTTTCACTCCTGGTTATAGTTTCTCTGTACAAAAAGTATCCCACAATATTTAGAGGTTCCTAAGATACAAATTGCTATACAACAAAACCCCCCAGAGGGAACTTTGTTACTGGTAAAGACAATGTAGAATAACAGTAAGATTAATAATGTTTGTTTATGAAAGAGAAAGAAGCTAGTTCGGTGCAGGTGGGGGGTTTGAATGGAAAATTGCATTTTCTTATGTATTTCCTTGATAATGTTTGCTCAAGCTTAATGCTCAGTGATTGGCTTCTGTATTCTGCTTGCTTGCCTACCAACATAATCAGTATAAAAAGAGCCAGAGTGTTTAGGCTCTGTGCTACACTCAGATACTTTAGGAAAGAGTGTAGCCCAGCCGTGTAGCCCAGCAGTAATAAATCTTTCTTTCTCAAGACTCACCTGTCTGTCTGTCTGTCTGTCTGTCTGTTTGGGGCATTTGTGGATCACAGACTACAACAACAACAGTCTGTAACTCCAGTTCCAGGGGATCCAACATCATCTTCTGGCCTCCAAGGGCACTACACATACATGATGCACTTACATACATACGTGCAGGAAAAACACGCATACACATACAATAAAAATAAAATTTTATTTTTGAGTTATGGTCTCACTCTGTAGCCACAGCTGGCCTGGAACTCACTATGTAGACCAGGCTGGTCTCAAACACAGAGATCCACCTGCCTCTGCCTCCTGAATGCTAGGATCAAAGGTATGTGCCACTATGCCCTGACAAAATTAAATATTTATTTATTTTATTTATTTATTTTTTGGTCTTTTTGAGACAGGGTCTCAAAACTCACTATGTAGACCAGTTCTCTGGCCTTGAATTCAGAGATCTGCCTGCCTCTGCCTCCCAAGTGCTGGGATCAAAGGACTGCGCCACCACACCCGGCTTAAATATTTTAATTTTTAAAAAATTTGTTTATGAGTGTTTTGCCTGCATGTATGTCAGTACACCCATGCAATGCCTATGGAGGCCAAAAGAGGACATTATTGGGTCCCCTGGAACTGAAATTATAGATGGTTGTTAGCTACCATGTGAGAGCTGGGAACTCAACCTGGATCCTCTCAAGAGCAGCCAGCGCTCTTAGCCACTGAGCCATCTCTCCAGCCCCAAATAAAATACTTTCAAAAAAAGAATGATCATTAGAGAGAAGCTTTAACCATAAGTCAGTAACAACACAGGTAGTGGTGGCTCATGTGCTTAGTATCTGCAAGGCGCTGCATTCGAACCCCGGCACGGCAAAAATAAAAAAGTAAGTAAACAACAGAAAACTTCAAATTCACTTAACCTAGTCAATTAGAGCAGAATTTTCAGTTTTGCTCTGTGGTTCCTACTCCAAAAGCCTTTCTAAATGCTAGTGAATTATAAGAAGTCAATATCTGATACAAGGATTTAAATGAGGCACATAATATAAATCTTGCTACCTAGTATATTCACCTTATATTATTACTCTTATGAAAAGAAAAGTATTTCATGGCTATTTTTCAACCAACTTTATGAAAGAATTACATGCAATTCAACATACCTACTGGGATATAAGAGATGGTGGAACTCCATATCATGATTTGAGTAGTGGTCACACAGGTACATATATTTGTCAAAATTCATTTCACAGAACCATTAAGAACTGTGCATCTTGGGGGCTAGAGAGATGACTTGGCAGTTGAGAATACTGGTAGCTCTAGGAGAAGACCCAGGTTCGATTCCCAGCACCCACAAAGCGGCTAACAATGGTCTGTAATTTCAGATCCAGGGGAATCGGATGCCCTCTTCTGACCTCTGTGGGCATCGCATGACCCAGGTGCACTTACATACATGCAGGCAATAAACTCATACACATAAAATAAAAATAAGCCAGGCATGGTGGCACACATCTGTAGTCCCAGCACTCAGGAGGCAGAGGCAGAAAGATCTCTGTGAGTCAAGGCCAGCGTGGTCTACATAGTGAGCTCCAGGCCAGCTGGCGCTACAGGGAGACCCAGTTTCAAAAAGATCAAAAAATAAATAAATAAAAAATAAATACATAATAATAAAATATTTTACTTTCTTAATCCCTGATTTGGCAGAAAATTCAATACTGAATGTAATGTCCAGATTGTGGCTGCATAATATACTGATTTAATTCAAAACAAATAAACCAAACCAACCATCCCCTCACCTGTCACTTACCACAGTGCTGTTTGAACCACAGTGGGTTGAGGTTCAAGGGTGGGCTGAGATTGAGAATATGAGCAACCTTGCTCTTTTTTAAAAAGGGAATACATGCTTTGGATCTGAAAGTGAAAGAAAACACAAGTAAGCTAACAGCATACATGTTTAAACTACTTTCACAGAGCACTTGAATTTGCTCAATAATCTGAACAGTACTTCTTGTTTGTTTTGTTAGTAAAGTACTTTATTTTCTAGCATGAAGATAAAAGGACCTAATTTTTCTGCTTTGAAACTATGTTTCATGTCCTAACTACAGGATTTGCTTGATGGCACTTACATACAATACATATGCAATTACTAGAACTAATTTTTTTTTGTTTGTTTGTTTTTTTTGAGACAGGGTCTCCCTGTAGCCCCAGCTGTCCTGGAACTCACTATGTAGACCACGCTGGCCTGGAACACACAAATATCCCCCTGCCTCTGCCTCCCAAGTGCTGGGATTAAAGGCGTGAGCCACCACACCCGGCAAGAAGCAGTTATTTAACAGTCGCACAATCCTGAGCCAGGCCTGGTAGCACAAACCTTTAATCCCAGCGCTTGGGAAGCAGAGGCAGGCTGAACCAAAAGGATTAAAATTAGATTAAGTATATGAGCTACTTCAGGCAGTGCATATACTAAGCAGGAAATGAGCAGGTGCCATGGGTGGTATTACACACTGGTTTATTTTACCAGTACTAAACAGAATGTGCCTTTGAGAGCAATATGTCATTTGGAGTTTTGTTTTCTTTTGTTGGTGGTGGTGTTTGATTTTTGAGAGTCTTAATGTGTAGGCCAAGCTGGCTTAGAATTCATTATGTAGCCGAGTCAAGACAGGTATACACTCCCATGAGGGCTAACTGAATTTTTTTTCAATTCCTCTTTTTTTTTTTTTTTTTTTTTTGGTCTTTTTGAAACAGGGTAGCCCCAGCTGGCCTGCAACTCACTATATAGACCAGGCTAGCCTTGAACTCACAGAAATCTGCCTGCTTCTGCCTCCCGAGTGCTGGGATTAAAGGCGAGCGCCACCACGCCCGGCCTCACTTCCTTATTTTTTTTAATTGCTTGTTGGAATACATTATTTTATAAAATATTCACATGTGGGGCTAGAGAGACGGCTCAGCGGTTAAGAGCATTGACTGTTCTTGCAGAGGACCCCGGTTCGATTCCCAGCACCCACATGGCGGCTACGAACCATCCTTAACTCCA